CCGTCTGTCGCTAGCCGCATCTGCCTGTCTGTTGCAAGAGGATCTCACCTCTCGCTCCCCACATGTCGGGGGCGCTAACGCGCGCGGGTGAGGGGGGCTCGTTCTCCCTCGCCCCCAGCCCTGCAGAAAGAAAGAGAGCGAGACGGCAGGGAATGTTCCCGCCTTCTCCCTATTGTAGTATTCTTATCTTGATTGTCTATCATTCTTATCCTCGCATGATTCTTCACTTCCTGCACGTTTTGTGGAGAATGTACGACTGGCATACTTTACTATCGAATAACTTATGGCTTCAGCCGTTTTTGCTGGTCTATGTTCGCTCTTCACTCCCCGCAGCCCAACAAGACGTTGGGTGGGCCAGGTGCCCGGGGACGCTGACCCGTCCCTACGCCCGGAGGAGAGAGAGAGAGAGAGGTTTGCTTTTGCCATGTTCAGACGGTTTTTGGTACTTGCAGGTCGAGTGCTCTGGGTTTCGAGATTTAGAGGCAGCACCCCATGTCAGAGATATGTGTATATATTTTTTTCTATGTATCAACGCCCGGAAATGGAAAAACAAATATCAGTATATATCTATATATAATATATCAGCACACATATTTAGATGCATATCTATACATACATACATACATACATACATACATATATATATATATGAACCCGGCGCTCGGTTCGCCAACCCCCCCTCCCACCCCGCGCAAGCGTGGGTCCATGCATGCCGAATCCTGTGAGCGCGCGTGGCGGCTCCAAAACCGTCAACTGTCGCGCACGAGAACCTCGTCCCAAACACACCCGATCCTTGTTAAAGTGGACACTTTCCAACCACGACTCCGAGACGAGGGTATTAAAGATGCAACCGTCACGAGTATCGCATTCCTGGCAGGCCCGATTCCTGTGACAGTTGACCCAAGAAAGGAACATGATGATGATGGTGGTGATGGTGATGGTGATGATGATGACGACGGTGATGGTGGTGGTGATGATGATGGTGATGATGATGATGATGATGATGATGATGCAAACACCAGAAAGACCCTAACCGCGACCATGCCCCATGAACCACGAATGCGTGGATCTTGGGGCGAGCGAGCATATATATATATATACATACATACATACATACATACATACATACATACATATACACATCGCTAATTTTCGCTCATTTCGGGCACAGAGTCCATGTTCGGGCGCAGCCCCTGTGGCATGCAGCTAATTGAAGTTGTTGGCTGGAGCAGAAATCTGGGCCTTGCAGGATGAGAGACACATACAATTACAACTCAGCATGTGCGAATGTAGGAGGAAGAACCACATACAACTCAGCATGTGCGAATGTAGGAGGGGATTTAAACCGGCACAACAAGAAAACCGTACCCTCAACAGCCATGTAACCCACTAGGCAAAACTTCAAATAACATCGGAGCCAAGATGGCGAAAAGCACCAGCTGAAGTGCAATGTAAAAGTGCAGGAAATCCTCAACGACAACCTGAAAACGAGTTCACACTTGTACCCTGGGCCAATTCCTCCAGGGAACAGGGGAGGCCAACTACAGGATAGGTCCCTCACAATGAAAAATTAAACATCACTGTGCCCTCTCAGACGTGCCGCTGCATACAATGACCGCGTATATATGCAGCAGGACGTGTGAGGTCTGAGTTGAAAGAAAGCGAAGCCCCCAGCAAACCCGTCGACATACGGCAGAACTCCCGGACCTGGTCTTCCGAGCTGCAGGGCCTCGCCTGTCTTGTAAAGCAACGTTCGCGCCTTCAATATTGAACTAATAATGCCGCATGTCACGATCGTACTTACCATCACCTGTCAGCATTTTGTACCGCGGGTCTGTTGGCAACGGGTGTGATGATGTCAACGATGGTGGCTTTGCCAAGCCGCCTGGTGATGCATTCACGCGATAAGAAGGAGCAGGGATGTCCTGGCCCGGTGCCAAAGCCGGGGCCCCGAGAACTTTGAAGCCGGTGTCGAAGCCGGCAGCAGCCACGCAGAACTGGTTGTAAGTGGAATCGCCCACCGAAAACGCAGAACTTCACACCTGCCAGCCCAATCAATGGCAGATCTGGAGACTGGAGTTTCAGCCGGGTCTGCTTGCAGTTGGCCAGATATGCGCCCAGCCCGCACGTGGACACCACCAAGATGACAATCTTCTGGTCTGGCAGCACCTCGAGCTCGAAGTCATCCAACGTTCTCACGGTGTATTTCAGTCCAGGTGCAGTCTTGCGTTAGATTCTTCGCCAGCTCCTCTGCATTGCACTCGCACTGCCGTGTAGCACCATGATGGAGTCCAGGAATCGGGCCCTGGTGTCTTGCTGGTAAAGCCTCGTGGACGTGAGCTCCTTACCGACGTACTTCGGCCGTTCCAGGGCATTCTGACAAGATGGTTGTCCGGGTTGAGGAATATGTGATGGGCCTTCTGCAAAAGCTCATCGACCAGCGAATGGGGATCCACCGTGCCGCCGAGATGCCAGCAGCGTAGGAAGATCACGATGTTCGTACATTTGTCAGCCTTCATTTGCAGCAGTGGTGTGGGGCCAGGAAGCTTGTGGAAGACAGTGTCATGCGGGCTCTGCGTTCTTCCCTCAGCTGTCGGGGGCAATTCGGGCCTTACATATACATATATATATACATATACATATACATATACATATACATATACATATACATATATGTATATGTATATGTATATGCGTAGATGTATATGTATGCATGTATACGAAAGTTGAACATCATATGAAGATCCAGACATTACAACTTCACGAAGCTCACGATAAGAACCCTTTTGAAGTTCTCCCCGCGGACGACCGAAATCTGCAGTCGGCTGGATCTTGCTTCTCGCATGCGCTCTGTGGTTGGTTCCTGCTTACTTAGCTTCACAGTCTTGCAAAGGCGTTCAACATGTATGCACACCCCAAACCCGAAACCCTATAGACCACAGTCCGAAACCCAGGGCCGAGACCTCAAGCCACGACGCTGGTTCATGGACCGCACATTTTCCCAGCGGTTCTGGTGTGCGCGAAACCCCGAAGGCCCTACGCTGAAGCCAACCTTGAATCCGTGGTCCACATGGGAAGCTCCCAAGTTGCCTCAGGCCAAGGACCAACACGTCAACGGTGTCGGTGTCGCACCCACCACAAGAAGAAAACCCAAGCGAGGACTCGGGGGCTGGGGCTGGGGGCAGGGCTAAACCGACCCTATAAGGGTTACAGAGTTCATGTTTTCGGATTGAGTATGTCAGTAAAGTCTACTAATGCAGTTGGTTACCTGTGGAGACTCATGACGTTCGGAGTTCTCTGGTTGTATGTTTGCCTTGACACGTACACCGCGGTGAAGATGGCCTTCAATCAGCCGCATGGCTTGATCCCTGCGTGGTTGAGACCCTCGGGCTTGATCAATTACGGCAGGGCTTCTTGGTATAGTTCGATTATGATATACTGCCAGAACCCTATTCGTATTACTGGTAAGGCTGCTTGTGACTTTCGAGTGTAGGAGCGGCTCGGGAGCCGCAGGGTCAAGCGTAAGAAGGTCGGATCCGTCGTACTGTAAAGCCATAAAAGGTGAAGCCCCCTACCGCAAAAGAGGTTGCAAAAAGGTATAAGGCGATCCGGGTCTACAGTACCTCAAATCCTGCACCGCTCCGAACCCTACGACTCCAAGACCTCTGCGCTTGTTCCTGAAAGCGGATCTCCCCCAAAGTTCCCCCAGCTTCGTCATGCATTGCCAATTTCTTCAGAAAAAGAAGGATCTTTAAACCTGCAGGCTCCCAAAGCCTATACCTGAGACACGTCACCTGAATACCCTGGACCTGAAACTCTGCGCCCGGAATCCGATCCCTGTGCCCCCGAAGTCAGGCCCTGCCCTGCTCTTGACTCTTAATAGTCCCCCAACCCCCCAACCCCGAACCCATAAACCCCAAACCCCCAAACCCTAAAGCCCCAAACCCGTCAACCCCAAACTCCTAAACCTCTAAATCCCTGCCACCTTAGCCCTCGGAGCCCTCAGGAGCAACGCGACCTGAGTCGAAAGCGCACACGGAAGCCCTGACGCACGAGTGGTTTGGGGGAGTTCGGGGTTTAGGGTTTCAGGGTTCCGGAATGTGGGTAGTTCTCTATATCAGGGTCCCTTTTCGGGTCCTTGTTAGAAGGGTGCCATACCATATTGGGAACTTTAACAGGGACCCTAATTTAGAGAACTACCCATGTGGGGATTCCGGGCAGTTTAAGGTTTAGGGCTTGGGGTTGAAAGGTGCAGGCTTGGATGCCTTATGCGCCTAAGGTGTAGGCTAAGGGATCTCGGATGGAGTCCGGGGTTTGAGATTTGGGGACCTGGATGTCTGGTATAAGGATTTGAATAGACAAGAATTCTATCCCCTCATTGCCCAGACATTGCTATACTCTAGATTACCCCCTAAAGGCCCCTAGGTTGGGTCAAGTGCTTTTCTTAGTTCCCCGAGAATCCTCCATTGCCGTGAAACTTGTTCTGTCCTTGTGATTCACTGTGTTCTCTGCAAGACTAAACTCTAAACGTTATCTCCTTGGGTATTCGAGGCGTACATAGTCGATTGAAAACATGCTACCATGCCAAAGTCCGCATGGGCAAGGATTTAGCAAGTTACAAACTGCTCGGTCAGTCTCCCAAACCCTAAACCCTACAGGGTCATTACACCCCTGAATCAGTGAGCCAATCTTGAGCTGCTCCGGCTCCCAAAGCACCAGTGCCGAGAGTTCTGGAGACCAACCTCTAGTCTCAAAAGGTAGGACTTTAAAGTAGGTCGGGGAGTCGCACACACAGGGGTCCAAAAGATCTCAGATACTCAACCGGACTTCGGGGAGTGTCGGGCTTGCATTCTTAACCCCCAAACCCTAAACCCACCTAGTGAGCCATGATCTGACAGAGCCGAGGAAGCTGAGCGTCAATTTTTCGAGGCCTTTGAAGATGGAACCCGAGGCGACGCCGAGATCACGGGGCCTTTGGGGGGTATCGGGCTTTGGGTTTAGGGTTTCAGGGTTTTCTGCTTTCAGTTTTGAAGTGTAGTGTTTAGGCCTGACGCCCTTGTGGTTTGGCAAAAGGCTTTGTAAGCTCTGCAAAGCCCTATGAAAAAGGCTCTCATAACGGTTACTCCGAAACATGGGCCCAGCAACCCCAACATCCCTCAGCCCCCACCCTCCAAAGGAAAGGAAAGGAAAGGAAAGGAAAGGTTTAGGCCAGTGCGTACAGCTCATAAGGTTTAAGGTTCAGGGTTTGGGCGGGGAGCTGTAGTAATTAGTTATTATAAGGGAGCTCAGTGATGTGAGTCAGTGTGCTAGCGAGCACCGTGTCCCTGGAAGGTGACCGACACTGCGGTGCGCTTCCAGCTGCACAAGAACTGGAACACATGTGAGGACATCCGTTGGGTTGGGGTATAGGGTCGAGGGTTGGGCATTCACTTCGGGGTTTAGGCTTCTCGCATCCTCAGTTAAGACCGACCGATTCTGTGAACCATGGAATCGGTGGCAATATGATTGCGAATTAGCGATGGAAGCGGGGATTGAAGTCGGCACGGTAAGTACTTTGCTGTTACCAGCAAGCCGACGAGACAAGTCACGATGGTGCCGGCCAGAGCCACAACAGCACCAAAACATGGCCAGAAGATGCTTCGAGTGAGACAAGCGCCGACATAATCAAAGTCGCCGCGCTTTGGACCCAGGACGAAATCAAAGAAGGTCACATGCCACTGTCTTCTTGGCCCAAGACCTTTACCTCGTTCTACAAATATCACCCCAAACCGTAAGTACGAAGCCTTCAAAACGTCTCAAACTCTGAATCTTAAGCCCTGACCTCTTTAGCCCTGTGAAATCCTGCTCTGTTTGTG